GGGGGGGGGGGGGTGCTGTGCTGCTTGAGGATCAGTTTTGTGGACTGTTTGCTGTGCATGCAGGTGCTAATCAAGCAGTACTTTTGTTAGATACTGTGAAGACATTAGTCAGCAACTACTCCCAGTAAGTTTTGAACAGGGTATTTCTTTCCTAACGCTATGACTTAAGCATATTTGTGGGTGGGACTGCTGTGCGACTGCTCTTGAGTTGTATGCAAATGCACCTGGTCTTGGTGTTGACTGCTATGTCACTCTGCTTTCACTGTTTTCTTCCCTGGTGTTCACCGTACTCTTTGCTTGCTGTTAACTCTTGTGTGTTTTCTGCACGTTTTTTATGTATGTCACAAGTGCTTTACCTGTACTCTTCACTGCCGCTTTGACTGTACTCTGCACTGCTGTGTGCCACCTTTACTGTTTGACTGTACTATGCACTGCTGTGCTACAACTGCTTTGACTGAACTCTCCACTGTTGTTCACCACGCACTTCTGTGCTGTGGTCTCTTGCTGCTGCTGTTGTTCGCTGGCTGGCGTGCCTGCCCGAACCAGGTGGCCTTGCTGGCCGGTGTGGCGCACACCGCGCTGTGGCTGCGGTACCAGTACCTCATACGAGATAGGCCGTACGCGAGGCGGGGCGCGGTGGTCATCATCCTCCTCAACGCGGCGATCTTGCTCGAGGTGCAACTTTTTCATTTCCCTTAGAAAATACGCAACAAATGCATGTCTTTTCCTTCTTGCCCGAAGCCTGCACTTTTCCAGTCCCTCGCTATTGACATCAGTCCGACCATCTTCGACCTGATACTTGCTAGCCTGCGCAGCGAAAGCATTCTTTTTATTGCCCCCACCGTCATTTACAGTTTCGCCTTCCGGGTGCACTTTCGGACCTGCCAACCGGGGGGGGGGTGTCACATGTATACGTGGGATCCCTTATGCGGTCCATACACTTTGCATTGATCTTGAGGACGGGTTCAGAACACCCGTTTCCCTGGTCGGCATGTTTTTTTTTTTCTCGACAATCACGAGTGATGGTATGTATAGGGAGGACAACTCTTGTAGAAAGTTGGAAACGCTGTTGCCCTTGATGCATCTGTAGTGTGTAGTACCGCGCCTTTTTATTATTGCATGCATTGGTATGGGAATTCACGTGTGCCCGTGGATGTTTTTTTTGCTCCCCTGGAAGGCTATGCATACACAGCTACGCAAGTCATTTCGCCGCTTCGGCGAGTGCTCGGTTCTTCTTCGAGCAGCCCGCCGGAGAGCGGGAACAACCCAAACCGGCAAGCACGGGGGAAATAATTCTGACTTGCTTGCTGATGACAACTCGTCGTCTCCGCCGCCACTGCAACTACGCTGTTTTCACGACACCGGTCGTCGACAGGTGAACGACTTCCCCCCCCTGTTCCGCCTGCTCGACGCTCACGCCATCTGGCACTTCGCGACGATCCCGCTCATGTTCCACTGGTATCACTTTGTGATCCAGGACGCGAGGCACGAGGTAACTCTGTCTTCGAAAGAAATCTGAGAAAGTTGCAAGCGGGGTATTGGTAGCTATGCCTCTCGCGGCGAACGCTTATTGCGGTGGTGGTTCAGAAGTGAGACTTCAGGTATAGACATTGCCTGCTATTTCCCGGACCTGGGTTGTACTTATGTAGGTGTACCGTGGTGGTTTGGAAGGAGACGTCAGGTAGAGATTCCCTTTTATTTCCCGGGCCTGGGTAGTACTCATGTACGCTTGCGGTGGCGTTTGGAAGGAGACATCAGGTAGACGTTGCTTGCTATTTCCCGGACCTGGGTACTACTTATGTAGGTTTGCGGTAGTGGTTTCGGAAGGAGACAGGAGGTAGCCATTGCCTGCTCTTTGCCGGGTCTTCGTGTCGATAGCGTAGGCACGTACAGCACTATTGTATTAGTATCGTCGCCGCCCCTGACTAGTAGTGTCGTCGCCGCCCTTGCGCGTCGGGCAGAAGGGTGGCGGGGCTGATATGCCGTTCTATCACCTGGTTTTCTCTCTTGTGGCGTGCTGTTGCAGTCTTCGAATGTGACTGTCTGTTGAATGGGTTTTTGTCAAAGGTGGCGGGAATAGTCAGAGAGGGCGGGCCGAAATCAAACCTCGAGTAGACTAGTCAGCCCATTAGACTAGACGAGTCTAGTTTCATGATATGATTTGGCTTCCAAAACTAATAGTCTGCTCTGACTGGTCCAGTAGGCTAATTTCGGCTTCTTCGCCATGGGGTTGTCTATCGGTCGTTGTTTGTCTAGATGCGAATTCGAGCTGTACGTATGTGTGCGAGTCTACATAGCTGTAGCGAAAGAACACCCTGTGTTGCCTCTTGACTCCTGGCGCTGAGTTGTTCCCCATCCATGCCCCCCCCTCTTTGTTGTCGGGTCTTGTTAGTTACGGGTCTTGTTAGTTATCGTTTATTTTTTCGTCGTGCACTTCGTCCGTTTTGACGTGCTGAGACAGATGTTTGATTTGAGCAGGCTTTCATCAAAGATGAGATGTATGCATGGGAATGGCAAGATTTACGAGTAGAGGTTTTTGTGTCCTGCCTGCTGTTGGGTACCGGGTGTTAACCCAAGTTGAGAGCGATCGAAGATGGAGTTTCATTGCTGTCTCTATCGTAACTTATTTTCGTTTGGTTTACAATCGGAGAAATAATTGGCGTATTTATTCTGGAAGCTCGGTGGCATGTGGCAGAAGCCGTGTGGCTACTGCCTTTCCCCCGGGAATACGCTATTTGCTTTTGATTTCGAAAGTGTTCCTTTTTCCTTGGGCTGGTTGCACAAAATACCAACTTTCGAACGCTCATGACAGGAGCGGCGACAGATCGGTCCGATGGTGACTCCCATCTCGCCTCTCCATCGATATCCACCGGGGATATAATCTCAACAGGATGGGCATGACTTCATTGAAAGGTCCGAGCGGTGCAAGCAAGCAAACTCCATCAAAACGTTGCTTAGCAAACGCGCATGCGATCAAACCCAAACATGCTTTGAAATTTGTTGTGCAATTGTTTCTCGCAAGAATCGAAAAGCATGGTGGTACATGGCCTCCTTCGCGAAAACATGCAGAAACACTGATGGTTCCGTTACTTCGTATGCATAGAAGTATGTTTTATTTAGTATTGCCAAGGCAACAAGGCAGAAAAATTGCCAGAAACTGGCAGGGTACGCAAACTGTACCTTACGAGAGAAAAAAGAACTGCAAAAAACAAGAGAAAAACAAATCGAACGCGTCATGTGACAGCAACAACCTCGGTTCTCAACAAAAGAAACACAAGCTCGTCCTCGTATTATTTTGGTCACAGTGCATGATTCTGTGGTGTCAACAAGCAATTACCAACAACTACGCAACGCTCTCGCCAGTAACCTACAGAGGAGAGGTCTGACGTGCGAGGTACGCAACAACGGATTCAGCGTTGTCGCTCGCGCACACACACCTCTGGAGTCTTCCAATATTAATCACGCGCTTGCTTCTCTTCGGAGCTGGTTCTAGACGATGTATGTACCCATACACCACAAACTACACGGGACGAAGAGACCCAGCTAAACACAGAACGTTGAGACGCCCCTCGATATGCTACGTACCTTACGCATGTGGAATGAAGGCAGTATTCTAACGTCAGCATAATGTAGAACTTCAAGTACAAGAGAGCGGACGAGCCGGGGATGAAAGAAAGCAACCCCGTTCGACTCGCGGGCGTACCCCCCATCGAAACCACGGGGCATCAAACCGACAGGAAAGGGGAGGTTTTCAAAAAAATTCTCGCGGAACCACTCATCACCAGAGAAGGAAACAAGCCCCTTTCTTGAAGCCAGAGCAAAATATGCCAAGAGGCACACCCATCGCCATAACCAACGTGCCACACACATGATACACCATCTAAAAAACGCATTTCATACACGGAAAAAAGCAACCGAGGGTCGCGCTTAGATGTGAGCACGTACGGCAGTTGGGGGACGAACCAAGCGCCAATTATACCTTGACAAGCAGCGCAATGCAAAAAAATGGACCCATACCAAGAGTTATCATCGCAACCAACCAACGTGAAATAAAGCTGGGGGGAGGGGTGGGGGGATGGGGGGAAACATGACTATCGATGCGTGGAATCTCTACATTTTCAGGTAAAAATCTTAAAACGTTTCTCGCCACAAAAATGTCGGAAATTCCTTTCCCAACGAGCGTCAGGAAAGCGCGGCGTGCGGCCAAAAACAAAAAACGAAAGCGGCGGGGACAAGACCGACGAAGAATACGACGTACAGGGCGATTGAGCATTTTCAACCCATCCCCGCGCTCAACAACGCTCCATCCAGCAACTCTTTCCTCTTGGACAGAGCGGCATCATCAATTCCTCGTGTTTTCGCAGCCCATGCCCGGCCTCCTCCACGTTTCGGCCCCTCCACCTTGAAACAAAGACTAACAAAAACAAGAGAGCAACACCAAAATGCGTAACACATATACCTCATCGGTTCTACGAAGAAAGCAAAACACCCTATCTACACTGCGACCCCCCCCCCCCCCCCCCCCCCCCCCCCCCCCCCCCCCCCCCCCCCCCCCCCCCCCCCCCCCCCCCCCCCCCCCCCCCNCCACACAGCACCAGTCCGGTGGGCATCGTCAATCCTTACGACCGGGCGCGATCTCTCAAACGAACCACAAACGAAGACAGACGCTGTTGAGAGAGGAGGGTGGGGGACTTGTCTCGCTTTCCTCTCCCCAAGACACGTTGGCCGCAGGGGAGAAAAACAAACCAACAAGAATACACTACTCGAAATGACCCGGCCACCCATTCGCACGACACGGCGATGGTGTCTCTCTACCCCCCCACTCCTCGATACAGCACAAGTAACTAGACAATACCAGCGTTGAGCTATTCCGCTCACGACAACGTCATGGAACCCCCCCTCCCCGTACAACAACCTGCGTATGCCATGATGCTCCCCACTGCCTCGGATTGGTATCCCTCTGCGTTCCACGATGTCCTCGCATGCACATCCGCAACGGTACCGAGCTTAACCCTGATCCACTCATCGTGCCCTTCCCTCAAGCCCTTAACTCTGACTAGGGGGGGACACGAACGGTTTGTCCCAGTAGCCACCGTTCTGTCTCCTTACTGATACAAGCTCACTCGTCCACCAACAAACAAAAGAGGGCAAGGGAACGTCGCCACGCACATAAACAGCCAACAAACACAACACACAATACAAGAATACACACAGCGAATCGAAAAAATCATTCATGCCGGTGCTCCACAACGCCGAAAAAATAAAAGAGCAAAAAGTTAGAAAAGTACAGCAGTGGGCAACAGACCGATCGGCGATCGACGGCTTTTCACGAAAATATCAAAGGAGGCGTGATTCTTGTCAACGGAGAGGGTACACGTGTCTCCCGCACGTACCGACCCCGAGAGACAACACTCAGCGTCCCTGCTTTTAGTACAGAAAACCTTCCCGTTGTCTCTCGATGCCTCGGAATAACCGAGACGAGAGAGAAAAAGGGGCACGTCCGCCTTTGACAAACAGACAGCAACAACATATATTTTTTTGAATAGAGCCCCCTGATTCTACTATTAGAAGGAAAAGAACTCTGCCACGCTTTGCACCATCGTATTTCCAAGGTCGCTGACATCCGCCGACCCGGCCATGAGGGTGTCCCAGTCTTTGCTGGAATCCCGCACAAGTTCCATGGAAGCGAGACTACCCAGCCCGGTGGGCGACTGTTCCCCCTCGAGGGGAGGCTGCGGCATCCCCTGGTCCGTGTCTACGCTCATGTTCCTGAGGTGGTGCGGCACTCCGCCTCCGCCGCCACCACCGGAAGGTTTCACGATGGCACCGTGCTTGTCCAGCCGCGAAGACCCTGACGTCGAGACCTTCCTCAGTAGGTCGCAGATATCGAACACCTCCACCATGTTTGTCAGCTGCTCCACGAGGCCCAGCTCCTCGCGCTGCTCTCGCTTGGGCGGCGGCGGCATCGCCGATGCCGCCGCCGCCGCCGCTGCCGTCGCTATCGCCGCCGCTTCCAACGACGACTTCGGCGTCAACGGGGACGAGGTTAGCGCCTTATTGCCGGCAGCGGTGCTGGGATCGATCGGTATTCGTTGCCCGCCGCCGGTTACCGATACGGGCGGGGGGCGAACGCCGCGCAGGCTGACACCGGAGGCCGCGGCGCGAGCCTCAGCCGAAGTGTCCACCATGAGCGACGAGATTGGGCCGTCGTTGCCAGCGGAGGACGCGGGTCGTTCGGAGGGGAGCGCGCCTGCCGTCGTCATGTCCACGCTCGACGACGTGCTCATGTTTCTGTTATGGCCGCTGCCCGACTGCTGCAAAACAAAAAGGTGGATTGATAAAAGAGACGAGACGGGGAAGCGCAGGGAGGGTTAGGAACACAACCTCGTCTTGAACCTACGCCATACAACGGTAGCAGTGTCGTCGAGAGTTCGTGTCCCTCTGATCCCATTGGAGGGACTCGATACTTTCGGACATGGGGTACACACCAGTGCTGTACTGTTCTTTTGTAGCAACCAAAACAACCATCTTTGTCTTTCTCAGACGTTTCTCAAGGAAGTTTCTTGTTTCAACACGAAGAGTGATTCATGCGCAAGCTTTGGACCATGCAGCCGCTTCAAGCTCAATACCTAGACTACACGAAAACACAATTGCGAAAAAAGAAGCCTGAATCGATTCGTGTCCATGTTAAGCTTGCCAACGAGCACAAGACACTGCCAGACTCGGTGGAATGCCTGCACGTCTTCCGTCGATCCTTCTTGCAGCAGTTGCATGACACCACAAGCAAGACAAGGCAACAAGAATAAACCACTGCAACATCGGAAGTGGTCCGGGAGTTAGCCGAACACCGCTGCAATGTACTCAGCGCTATAATGCGTTCGTTGTCTTACTAAAGACATCGACCGGATTTGGCAGCAATGGAACCTGTCGCAGCAGCAGCTACTGTGGAATTACGGGGGAGGGGGGGGATCTGATGCGACAAAGCGAACTTCCCCTAAGCCCGCCGTCTTGTTACCGAGCTACGCGAGAAACATTCGGTTCCGACGCCCAAGTAGCCCGAATCTCATTTTGCGACGGTCGAGCACGTAGCGCAACACCAAGGGAGGCTGTCCGGCTGAGAGCGTAACCCTAACCCAAACATCAAGCAAAATGTGTAGGAGGAACTGCTTTCGATTGTCGAATGACTCGTGCGAGCAACAGACCTGGTACTGATGTACAGGTGTGGAAGGTACCTAATCCTACTACAGCAGTGAGGGCCACCCAGCCAGCCGCAGCCAGCAGCAGCACACCCTCTCGGGGAGACGCCGCATGAGCCCAAAACCGTTGGCACCGTTCATATGAACACACGCACAAGGAGAACCGTTTACCGCGTGATCAAGAGCCTGCTAAATAATTTCTTCCTCTATGTAGGTTCGTTCTTATGGCAGCCCCAACATAACCGAGAACCAGAACCATGCAGACAGCAAAATACTCGTTGAGAGGATCACAAGAAAATGGTACGCATACGTATACTTCACTCTGGAACAGCTCTGGCGACGTCCTGGAAATGACCACCAGTTCATATGCATACTATGGACAGGGGTCGACAAGTTCTTCACTTTCCCCTAACTTGTTGAATTTGAAGTTCTTCCCTACCAGGTTAGTATGTACAGCAACAGCGATCGCCTTCTATACCTGTGGGCATGACTGAGACGCCCACACGCTGGGTATACCGCAGTACAACAATACCAAATGACTACAGCGCAACAGATTGATGGGGTCCAGAATCTACGCAGCAGATCTCCCAGCTTTTGCACGTCTCCAAGAACAACTACGTGCTGTGGGGTGGGGAGGCAGCAAAGGAGGGCCCTCGCATATAGCGGACGTGAAGACGCTACCGCCGTTCTGGCGTGCCTCTCACGCAAAACTTAAAACTGTTTGTTGAGACTAACAACGAAACAGAGAAACAAATAACTCTGCAGGGAACAGCCCGGAAAAAAAAATGTTTTCCAGGAGGGCTGCTCAGAACAGCGGGACCATGGGACTCAACCAATAAATCAACCCCTCGGTAACCAAGTAGTTCATCCGTCGCTACCGTGGGTGTGCTATGCACTGCTGCAGCTGTATGCGAGAACACCGGTAACATGGGTAGTTGTAAGCATAGCTTAAGCATAGCTTAGAGGGTGCAGGGAGAGATGCACACGACGTGTTCCGAAAAAAACCCGGGAACCAAAAACAACAGTTCGTAATTCTTCAAACGTAACCTTGTCGAGGACGAACATCGGTGAGGAGCCCAATGCACCTGCTCCCTAAAACACCGCAGGCATCTCTCGTCGCTTAGCGCCGTGGCTCTTTCATCCCTTGGGCACTCAAGAGGGTTCTACAAAAATAGACGGAAGCAACGAAGCCAACACGTACATCTATGCCCCGTTGGGGGTAACTGACATCACACACAAAAATATTGTTACTTCCTGACGAAAAGATAGACTCGTTGAGGCAAGCAAGCTGGTGCGTGTGTGAAATCAAGGCTGATTATTGATGTGTGGCGTATAGGTATATCTATCGTTCGGAAAGCGACGATGTTTGAAGGCTACATATCGCGTGTCCAACCCGCATGATCACATCAGCAGCAAACACCAGCCGCAGGCAGCAAGCAATCCGGCGGCGGCGGCGGCGCACCCACTTGAAGTTAAACAACTCTTGAAAGAAAATCCCGCACCAAAGGACGGGGCGTAATTGCTTGCCGCGCTCTATATATTTGAATTCCACGATATAATTCAAAGCAACGCTCTCTCTCTCACCCTCTCCATGAAGCTGAACTTCTTGAAAAAGGAGAAGGGCGACGACTTGCGCGTGGGAGAGGCCGAGCCAGGACCGGCGGTTGCCTCCCCTCCACCCCGTTGCTGCTGCGCGCCCCCCCCCGCATCCCTGCCGCACTCCCCAGCCGCCTCCGGGCGGGAGGGGGAATAGCTTCTCCGCCCCTGCTGCTGCTGTTTCTCCGCCAGTCCACCTCCTTGCTCCAACGCGTGCTGCTGCTGTTCATGACTCCTTCCTACGCAGTCTTCGTCGGTGTCCTCCGAGGACGATGCCTCATCGCCTGAAGAATCGGTCGCGGCGGCAGCAGTGCCGCCGCGGCGGGCTTCTTGTTTCCTGTGCTGCTGGAGCTGCTGTTTTCTCTCCGCGGAAGCAGCTGACACCCCCACCTGGGGTAGAGTGGCAGCAGCGTCGCTGTCGCTGCTCTCTCCGGAGGTCCACGGCGATCTCTCCCCCGCATCCGAGGAAGCAGCCCGCGTGTCCGCCGAGGAGGGCGGGATCCCTACGCCCACCCCTGATCCAGGTGCCGCCGCTGCTGCTGCTGTGGCAGCGCCCGCCATATGGTGGTCCGCAACGAGTCGGGCGGAGTAGGAGGAGGGCTTGTCCCCTCCGCTGCTGCCGTTGCTCCCGGCCGGGGACGACTTGTTGCGCAACTTCCCGACCCTCCTCGCCGCCGCTCCGGACTTGTGCACGCGCGCGGGCGGGGACCACTGCCCCCCGGTCGCCTGCTGCTTCAGGGCGGCCGCCTTGGAAGCCGCGGCGTTGCGCTTTGCGGTGGCCTTCGCAGCTGCGGCGGCCGGTTCATACCGAGCGGAACCCGAGATGGAGCGGCGGACGTGGTAGAGGTCGTCGGGCCTGTCGCGCCGGAACATGGGGTGTGCGTAGCCGCCGGCGTCTGCGCCCTTCACGATTTTGCGGAAGGAGTAGAGGTTGAGCTGGCGCTGGAACGACGAGAACTTGGAGTGCCGGTAGTACTTGGTGAGGATGTCCTCGCTGAAGCGCTCCACGTCGTGGACTTGAAAGGCGGATCCATTCGCGTTCCAGCTGATCGTCGCCGTGCTCTCCGTCGCCAGGATCTCGGCTAGCTTCCTCGCGAACGCCTGCGGTGCGCCTGCGGGCGGCGTCCCAAACGAACGGAAGCGGTGGTGGGTGACAGAGGGATAGGACCCCCTGAGCTGTAGCAGGAGCACACCCCCTCAGCGCGCACGCAACGGTATCGGCCCGAGCGACCAGAAGTAGTAATTTTGGGTCAGAGAGAGATTCGAGAAACCACGCAGCAACAAAAAACGCGCGTGCGCAACAAAACTCACCTCGTTTCCCGATTCGCCCTCGCTCGCGTTGGCCGTCCCCCGCCGTCGCCGAAGGAGAGGAAGAAGTAGCCATCTCCGCAGGTGTCGCGAGGTGTTCGGGTTCCGCGGCCATAGTCTGTCTCTGTCTTCGGTGCTGTGGGAATGTGTCGCGTGCCCCTTTTTTTTTTTTTAAATCGTGACTCGCCTTCGGTGTTTAACACCCGGGTACAACCCGGGTCCCGATGGAAACCACGTCCAAATATAAAAGGTTTCCCGTTCTCCTGCTCAGAGCCGACCCAACAAAGCAACACCCCGTCCTTCTCTCCCTCTCTCTCTCTCTCTCTCTCTCTCTCTGACAAAAGAAGAAAGGAGTGCATGCAAACAGAGGTAGGGAGTATTGACAGCAGCGAGAGTTATTAGACGGACAAACAAGCTGGCGGATCGTTCCACATTCCGAGTCCAAAATTTCCGGGTATTTTCGGGAACCGTTAGCTGGTTTTTTCACTCTCATCACGAGCTGCTCATCACCGGCTCAATGCAGACGAACTTCAACGTTACAACACCGTGGCTACCTTTGGGTACGATCTTGATCTAATATCCCATTGTGTACATAGATACACCTCGATCCTCGACTTACCAGTTTTACCCCCGAGGTGAGCGCGTAGTTATGTGTGGGTACACACCAGCTGTGCACACACCAGCTGTGCACACACGATGCTAAAACAGCAGGTTGCGTACGTAAGTACGTAGAGTAGCGGCGGGATTAACAACCGAACCACCCGCGGGTACCACAACCACATTTTTTCAAATGGGGTATGTTAGTGATTCAGTCACGGAGCCCCTAGAGAGACTATAATAGAGCTTTCGTTTGAGCACTTCAGCGTCGCAATCTGTGCATCCAGCGACGAAATACAGCAGCAGCACGACCACCCACCGCCGACGTGGGCCATCTTCGGTCTTTTGCTGGTTTTGCTGATAAGCATGGGCCGCCGCCAGGTGGACCCAAAGCAAGCTCGGAAGGCATTAAGCAGTTAGAGGTGGTATGAAGATCCGACAGGCCTCTAGTCTAGGCTCTTTGGGCTTGATAGGTGGTCGATTAAGAGCCGCCTCGATGGCGCAGTGGCCATGAAAGCAAAAGTTGGTCCCGCGACTGTCCTGAGCGAACAAGAGGAAAATTCTCTTGAAGATGTTCTGCTGTACGCTGGTCGTCACTGCTTGGCTGTGGGTCGGCTGCACCTGCTAGAAACCGTTAGACAGCTAGCTGTGCAACGACGGTCGCCCGATTGGGATCCAGAGAAGGGTCCGGGGAAGGACTGGCTACTATTAATATAATAATATTACGGTGGAACATAGTAGTCAAGACCAAATTGGAATATTGTGTAACTTCGTCAATACGGAGTCCCCTATCACAAACTATAGCGCAAATTGACGACAAAGCACAGAGCTCTCTTTCTAAAACAAATAAATTAAAAAATTTCACCATGTCTTCGAGTAATATTACGAAATTAGTGTGTGATCGCACCCGGCGAAGTTCCAAAAATATTGAAGCGCGGTGTTCCAACGATGCGGCCCCAGGGCTTGCACAAGTAATCCATAAATTGATTGAACAGGATGATACAGCCATCTCAATTGCGAAACATCAAACAATATGTCAGCTTGCACTCAGAATGGCGCCTTCTGTGCAGCCCCTTCGTGTCGCTGTTCGGGAATCAAAGTCGAAAAATATTGGCCAAAAAAAGGGCATTTGTTTTTGGCTTTTTTTTGTTGGCTTTGTTTGTTGGCATTTTTTTTCAGCCCTCAATGGCATCTTCCGCGTCCTCACCCAGCCACTCATCCGTCTGCTCCTCCACCCCATCCTCTATCTCATCCTCGGCCGTAGCCTCTTGGTACTCTGCCACTGGATACTCAAGGCTACCGATCGTACCGCTCAGGTTTCCACCATACAGGCCGATCAACTAGTCCATCTTGCCAATGGCATGCTGCACCAACTTTCCACAGTTGGCTGCCTTCCACCCCCCCTCCTGACCGTCCCATTCCGGGTCTCCATACCAACCGAGACGGATTTGCTTCCAGACATCCAACATGTTCCGCCCCTTCTCAAAATGGATGCTCACGTAATGCTTGCCGTGCTGCCAGAACAGCTCGATCGGCTGGAAAGTCGGCATGTACGGCGGTGTCCAAATTAACCCCCACCCCTTCTCCCTCATGTACGTCTCAGCCTTTTCCTCGAGCTTTTGTGGAAAATTCTTTTTGAAGTACGTCCGAGTGACGGAGGCTATCTCTTCTTTGCTGACGCCGTTCTTGCGGTTCGCATTGGGTAGCGACCCCTGCGCCGGGACCTCAAAGTTGTACTCAGCAGCCTTACCCTCCGACTCACGCGTCACCTTGAACGACGTGCAACCGTACTTGCGCAAGAGTTCGACGTTGTACTTCTTACTGTTGGTTTCGGGCACCTTAACCTCCTCGTCAAAGCAGTGGTGGTATGAGGCGTTATCGAGAACGAGAAACATCTTCTTGTTCTTGAACTGCGCATCGAAGGCCGGGGTAAGTCGGTGCTTCAACCACTGCATGAACATCCCATCCGTCATGGCGTTATGATAATCTCCGGTTGCCAACTTGGCCTGCCACAGAAATTCTGCTGTCTGCTCATCTGACATTTCGAAATCCGCCTCGCCAGGCTTAATCTTCTTCGCACGATTTTCCTTAGCCTTGAACCAACCCTCACGGATAGGAAATCCCTCCTGTAGCTCGGCCAAGGGCCCGTGCTTCGTGATCGCATGCACCATGATCATACGCAAACCTTTCCCCGTTGTACGGCCTATCCCATCCTGCACAACCCCCGTATCGTCAGAAGGAAAGTACGAGTACGCGGAACCATGCGCCTGGTGAACAAAGCTCTCATCCATGTACACAATGACTGCGACCCCAGCGTCCTCGGCCCCCTTCGCGAGGTCCATCTTGACAAGGAAGAGGCGGATGCGGTTTTTCCTCTCCTCGTTCAACGGGGGTATTTTGATCCTACCCCTACGGCGCTTGAAGCCAAGGCGCTGCAGCAACCCTCCCACGGCACGATTCGACATCTCTAATCCGAACGAACACTCCAAGTAATCCTTGACGGTACGGCGGAAGACCTGACGTCCCGCCTCGTGCTCGCCCTTGATGAACTCGCGCAGTCCATCCTCTTGCTCCTGGGTGATGACACGTCGCCCGTCGTCGACGCTGGTGGCCTTGCCTCGCCCCTTCCCGTTGGTCTCGTACAACTCCTGCTTGTCATACCAGAGTGTGCGAACCGCCAGGACCTTGTCCGTACCATCATCCACACAGACGGAGGGTGGGAAAAATTTTGTTAAGAATACAGCAGTGTATTGCGTTGCAGTGTGTGGCGTTGGTATACGAAAGCCGGTGTTAAAGGGACGGCAGAGTGTAGACAACGTACAGCGCACGCGAGGAGAATGGTGGTGCCATGCACATACATTCCTTTACATTCAGCG